ACAAGTATTTAGGAACGGAGGGAGTAGATGATAAATACGAGAGGACAGTAGACATCATTCACAGACTCTCCGAATCAAAGAATTTTTCTTTTTCCATGCTAACGTCACTTAGACGAGACTCGTCAATTCTCGTCTAGATGAGAGCTAGCTACACCTCTACGGAGTTGGTTGATTTGTAGGATTTCAGTTCTATTTTCACCTGTGAACTACTTCTGCTCTAGCTTCCAGATAAGAATCTGGAAAAGATCTGTTTGGTGCCAACAACTTCTATCCCATCATGTTTGACCCAAAGAGGTCCATACAATGTAATCCCAGAATTTTCTTGTTTGTGCTTTCTAAAATGCCACGAATCAAAGGCTTTTCATATTTGTTCAACACTAACTTTGTCGAAAATTTTGTTCAACACTATGGAATGGTTGCAAGGCCCACCACTGGCTTCAGTTGTCCTCCATGACAGACACAAATGTAATACGTACAGTGCTAGGGTACAAAGTATCATGCATCATGTTCCTACTTCCCATGTTCACTCTCACCCACTCTCGTACCACCCCACCCCCATATACATGCACTTCTTCCACAGAATTACATTGCTGACTTGACAAAAATAAAAGGTGGATCTTGATCAAGCTAATAGACTGTAGTTTTCATAACCACTTCTGCTGGCCGGCAAAAACAATACTACCAAGAGTGCATTTATTTTCCTTCACAAGTTCACATGTACTACCCTGCTATGAACAAACCAATAAACCCTCAAACTTCTGGCCATTTCTGAGATAATTGTATCCTAGAGATGCCCCATATTGTCACATTAAAGAATGCATTGAGTCCATATGATGACACGGACAGCTGGGCAAAACATTCATATGGACGCAAGGACGGCAATGTTCATTTGTCCCACACATTTCATGTGATGAATATATTGGCAATGAATGCACCAATCAAATTCAAAATTGATAAGAACAAGGCGCCCAATCAAAATCTGTTGCAGGATGCTCAAGAAAAGACTAGCCACCATCCGCCATGCGTTCCATCTTCAAACCAAACAGGACACTTGTAATAGTTAATTACATTTGTAAATACTAAAAACAGGAAAAAAAATGCCTTTGGCGAATATCCAATTCAGCTCCTGAGCTCATCTACACCCTGTGAACAGTAGATTCAAATAAAATACTAGAAAATTCAAAACAAAATCCAATTTTTTTGTGGTGAAAGATGCTCGAGTGTGCGATGTCCATGCCAAGTTTCAGCTCATTCAGACATCCGAGTAGCTCTCAGCAAAAAAAAAACAGCTCCAGATAGTGCAAAAGAGTAAACTTTTTCACAGACCTCATATTTGTCTTTTTTGCTGAGAACTCGTCGAATGTTCAAATGCGCGCATCTTTCACCACAATTTTTTTTTTGAGATGTTTTGAATTTTTCTAGTATTTTTTGCGAATTTACTGTTCACTCCGGGGCTCATCTGACTCCGGGAGCCAAAACGCCACACTCGCCTTTGGCGAGCCTACTCTCTCATGCCTTATCACTAATGCAGCAACAGGGAGAATGGAGTATTAATGAACACAATGGTTGAATTGTTTCTTCCCCAATATGACCAGAAAGCATGGTAGAGCCTTCATTTGAACAGTCTACGCACAGATTATTGCAACGACAAATCACACGCTGCAGCTGCTCATTTTTGGAAGAGGTATTGGTCGACACAGGCAATAAAATACAGCAGTGTCAATGGCAGCATATCACTGTAGCACGCATGGCACATGGAAGAGTAAGAGCATAGCAGGGTGGCAGTTCTTTATGTACCTTCTCAATATAAGATGGAAATGTCAAAATAATTTTTTTGCCTCTTAACATCCACTTCATCTGTTGTCCTGTTTACATACAAATCAATGGGGGCCCTTGGTGATTCTTGTATGCAGACACAGGAAAAAGAATCAAGGAAGCTGCACAAAAGCTACAACAACAATCTATTTCAACTAAGGCGCATGCCTTCAACGGATGTCCATTTTGAAGCTCCACATGATTTGATTTGAAGCAGCAAAATGAACATCAGTTGCTTACACGGAGTGTGGATTGCATTAACAGCACCCAAGCGCTGTATCATCATCTCACGACGTCCTGGACTGTGTTGTCGTTCAGACTTCAGAGTTTCCACAGTACCAGTACCATGTGACCTTTGATAACATTGCTGGCACAGTGGTAATGCTGCAAATGACGGACCACCTAGCTAGGATTTGAATTCCTAGGTCTTACTGGTAACACAGCCAGGCCGTCCTATTTGGATAGATCAGATATTACCATCCCAGCACCAGAAGAGTAAGATTGGTGGTACCTCATGACTTCATGAGCTTTGTCCTTGAGATCGACTGCCAACAATAATTCATCAAGCTGGCCTCAAGAATAATTGTGTAATTTTAACTTTCTTTCAACTTGCATTGGATTTTCTCTGCTTTGTCTTGGATCTTCTCCACATTGTGTTGGACTACCTCCGTGTGCTCTTGGATTTTTCTTTCATTTTCTTGGACTTTCTCCGGCATGCCTTGGATTTTCTCCGCTTTGTCAAGGATCTGCCCTGTCTTTTCTTTGATTTTCTCAGCTTTGTCAAGGATTTGCCCCGTCTTTTCTTGGATATTCTCAGCTCTATCAATTTCCCCTGGATTTTCTTGGATTTTGCCTTCCTTCTCTTGGATTTTCTCTGCTTTCTCTTGCACTCCATCGCCCTTGTCTTGCATTTTCTCTGGTTTCTCTTGAAATTCTATTGCCGGTTTATGCTTGATGCTTGCATCTAAACGTGAAACCCTTTCAACTTTACCGAGTGCATCTGATTCAACCACTCTTACGGTTTGGTTCCTCCTCAGGATCAAGACTGCATCTTTTTGTATAAGATCACTAGTGCCGCGCACTGTTCTTGCCCGACTGATGCCAAATCTTTGGCCAGCAACACCATCAATCCGAGCCATCAGCTCCAAGAGATTTCTCCTCTCACCATCCCCTGCCTCAGAGAACACCTTTCCGTTCTTCAATGGCCGTGGTGGTTTCTTGGCACCCACCAGCGGCACCAGCTCCTCCAAGGTTGCATCTGCCTCCTTTTCATCATCATCAAATGCCAATGCTGAAGTCGATTCCTTCTCTGATGCAGCAGCTCGCTTCGAGATGGTCTTCTGAACATCAACAATGGCACAAGGGTTCCCTACCACCGCCATCCCGTTCCACACCTTGGCAGACACCGCCTTGCTGATGACGACGAGCCGCTCAACAATGTCAGACATGGAAGGCCGTCGCTCCCGGCAGGACCGCACACAGCTTGCAGCCAGCGAAGCCAGGTCCCTCCGAGTGACTGGGTCGCGGGGCGGCGCCACCCGTGGGTCAAACAGCGCGACGACCTTTCCCTTGCGCAGCAGGGGCACCGCCCACTCGACGACGGAGGGCGGCGAGTACTGAACGTCGATGGCCTTGCGTCCGCTCATGATCTCCAGCAGCAGGATCCCGAAGCTGAAGACGTCGGTCTTGGTGCTGAGGCTCTCCGGGGTGACGTAGGCCGGGTCCAGGTAGCCGAGCGTGCCCGCGGGCGCCGGCGTGGCGGCATTGCCGGGGCCGCCGTCCCTCTTGGGGACGCGGAGGGCGAGGCCGAAGTCGCCTAGGTGCGCGTCGAGGTGAGCGTCGAGCAGGACGTTGGCGGACTTGACGTCGCGGTGGATGACGGCGGGCTCGGCTTCGTGGAGCGTGCGCAGCGCCCTGGCGGTCTGCAGCGCGAGGCGGACGCGGCGCGGCCAGCCGGGCGGGCGCGGGTTGGAGTGGAGCAGGTCGTAGAGCGTGCCGTTGGGCATGTACTCGACGACGAGCAGGCGCGGGCGGCGGAGCGGGTCGGGGCCGGGGCCGGGGTCGGAGTAGCCGAGGAGGTTGACGAGGCGCGGGCCGCGCACGGAGGAGAGGATGCGGATCTCATTGTCCACCTCGGCGCGGCGCGGGGAGGGGCGCTTGACGGCGACGGCGCGGCCCGAGGGGAGCACGGCCTTGTAGACGGCCCCGTGGCTGCCCCGGCCGAGCAGCGCGGCGTCGGCGAAGCAGGATGTGGCGGCCTCCAGGTCGTCGTACGCGAAGCGCTCGATCTCCGGCGCGGCGGCGGGCGGCGGCGCCGCGGCGCCGGGGCCCCTGGCGCGGCGCGAGATGGGGAGCGGCGAGATGGCCGTGATGGAGCGGCACGTCGCCGCGGACGAATCCGCCCGGCAGGAGAGGTACCCCATCCGGGGCCGGGCGGAGGC